CATACTATATTGGTTGTTTTTTTAATTTAAGCCTCTTGTTTAGTGTCAACAAAACTTTGGGGAGGGCCTTTGTAATTTAAAGGCTGTCATTTTGAAGGAACATTCTTCTAAGTGGTACAACACTCTTCTGTCAATTTGTTGTACTGAGGTAACCTGGGGTTGTTGTGATGCTGAACCTTGTGCCATTGGGATGTCAAATGCCATCACAGTTACCAATGGTGGACAGTGTTTGGTGGATCTCCCAGTTTAAGACAGGTTTGGAAGCAGGAGTGGCATCCACTTCCTAAACAACATGCCTCTGGAAACTCTATGGACTTTGAATTTTGATAAATTGGAGTAGTTATCAATGAAATGATACGATAACTTGGATATTAGTTTGGTGGATCTCCCAGTTTAAAACAGGTTTGGAAGCAGGAGTGGCATCCACTTCCTAAACAACATGCCTCTGGAAACTATGAACTTTGACCTTTGATAAATTGGAGTAGTTATCAATGAAATGATAACTTGGATATTAGATAATCTGGGTTGGAAAGGAATTAAGTAGAAATGAAGCAACACTGCCCTTAAATGGATTCTTTTTGAAGCCAAGTGATGGGTACACAAAAATTCATGATATGATTTGTTTAGCTTTCACATATGTTTGACCTTTCCCATAAGACAAAGTTTTATTAAGTCTATGATTAAGTCAAAGCTCAAGCATAAATATTGAAAAACACGTATTACTTAAAAACAAATATATGGTGTATTTTAATTTGGTTAAAAATCAGTAAGAAAAATTAAAACAATTCAAAGGAAAATAGGCAAAAACTAAGAGAAACAAGTCAAAGAAGAGGAAACCAAAATGGCCCATAAGAAAATTAAAAGTCAAACTCATTTGTGACTGAGGAAATGCAAGTTAAACTCTTTTCACACCTAAAAGTGTTAAGGATGTGAAGAAGAAATTCTAGCACACTGACGGAGGTATTATAAATAGCTACTTTTACTTTCTAATATGGTGATGCTCAGAAAAGTGCCATACCATACCACACAGCAATTTCATGCTTATGTGAAATTAAAAACCATTGGCACAGTGGATCCAGAAAGTAATAATAGATGGCTGCTAACACCACAAAAGGAAGCGCTGGTAAGGAGATAATGTTGCCAACCCAAAGGCATGTAGTTCAAGTCCACCAGTTGCTCTGTGGAAGAAAGATGAGTAATCTCTTCCCATATCCTCTGAAAACTGGCTGGAAGGTCAGTTATGAGTTGGTTCTGACTTGGCAGTATATAACAGCAACATAACACTATCACTAAAGGGAGGTATGATGGAGTTGAGTTCATCATCAAAAGACACTGCCTCTCTGGCTGTACAAATCCATCAGCAGCTCCAAGAAAGCAAGATGGGCAATCTCATCACATCCAATTTGTAGTCTGTCAAAACCCACTGGATGGTCAGCTATAAGTTCTGAGTTGATGCCAGTTAGAGTGTCACAAAAAGAGAGACACACAGACCTTACGTGGCTCCCCATGACAAACACCACACTGACTATCTTATTACCTGGTGCTGCTCTAGTGGAGATAACAAGAGTGGATTTACCCAACAGAAATGTATTCTCTCAGTTTAGGAAGGTAGTGGTATGAATTCAGTGCTCCAGATGTTGGTGAAATCTTTATTTGTTGACTGTGAGGAAGCTTTCTGTCTCCTGTCAGTATCTGTGGACCCAATGTTCCTTGGGGATCTCTATGAACTTTAGTATGTGTATTCTCCTGGGTATAGGAGGTTCTCAGCACAGGAATCCCAGATCCAAATGATGTGCTCCTCTTTCTTGGTTATTGTTGGGTCTCTCATCCTCTGCTCTTTTCTTTCCTTTAAACTCTTATAAAAGTTGCTGTGGGCCATACTGCAGGGCCCCAACACCTCAGCTTTAGGGCAGCAGATCTGGCTTCTACCCCTTGGTGCTTGTGAATGGTAGTCCCATACTCTAAAACCGAGATGGTAAAGATTTCATTCTTTTAAATTAGGAGGCTGCTGGTGCTATTGTGTGCCATCCTTCTTCTGCAGAGCAGCTGGTGCATTTGAACCATGTACCTTTGGGATTGCAGCACAGCTTCTTTCCACTAGGCCACCAAAGATTTTTAGTAGACTGTAGCCTCACCCTTTAAGACCAGCAAGCTGTGCTTCTACCCTCTGAGACTCCAGAGGTCAAGACTTTACCCTTGGAAATCAAGGCAGCTCTAGTCTCATTCACCTTATCTTTTCAATTTCTGCTTCCTGGTTCTTTGGCCTCTTGGGCTGGCTCGGACTCTGCCTGCTCAGTACCTGAAGGCATCTTATTCCACCAGGAAATCTCCTTCTCAAAGGCACTCAGCTCTCTTGATCTGCTCCTAGGCTCAGCTGTGGTTCAGCTCTGGCACCTTCTTGCTAGTCTGGTTCTACTGCGGACATTTCTCAGCCAATGTTCCTGACTGCCTGCATTGTCTGTGCTGTTATAGCTCTCCTCGCTTCCTTCTGAGCCCTCACCTAAATTGTCTGTGACATTCATAATTCCACCAGCAGTTTCAAGACAATCTAGACCTTTACTATTAGGCATCTTAAAATTCTCCCAGCCTCTACTCGTTATCCAGTTTCAAAATCGCCTCCAAATTTTAGGTATCTGTTAATACATCATTCTTTAGAAAACATCTGTCTTAGTTGTCTAATGCTATAGAAACATCACAAATGAATGGTCTTTAACAAAGAGAAATTCATACTTTGACAGTTTAGGAGGCCAGTAGTCTGAAATCAAAATATTGGCTGTAGATGTAGATGTCTACTGGGCCTGGAGGAAGGGGGTTCCCCTGCCCCTTCACCATCAGTAGTCCTGCATTCCTTGGAGATTCCTCCATGTGTCTCAGCATTCATCATGACCTGGGTCTAGACAGTTCTCAGCCCCAGGGATCCTGAGTCCAAAAAGCATGCTCCACTTGGAGCTCTTCCTTCTTGGTTGTAGTCCGATCCTTCTGACTCTGCTAATTTCTCTTTCTTTTTTCTCTTATAATACAGGTTCCAGGGAAACTCTCTCATGGGATCAGAGCTATGACCTGAGCAACAGTGTGGCATCCTACCCTAGTTCTCTTATAACTGATTTGAGATCACATCATGGGGGACGGACGATAATAACATTATGTAACTGTCAAATTGCCTCATTACATAACTGCCAAATTATAGCATTGCCTAACGGAAAGTCATGGCTCAGTCGGATTGACATAAGAGCTGGGGAGAGGGGATGCAATTCAACCCATGACACCCCAATACAGTTACATTATCAGGTTTATTACATTAAACCTGGATTCAAGGCCCTCAGTCCAAACAGTTAAGTGAAGAAAGCACAAGGAACACAGTAACATGCCAAATACCATCAGATGTAACCAGCAAAATCCCCCTGGGATAAACTCTTATAGCAAATTTAAGCGTTTCATTGCTTTCAATAAACTAATCACCAAGAAACTCTGCATATTAAAGCTAATGAAAACGACATATCAACCAATTAAAATATGCACACCTCAAATGAATCTTGACTATAAATAGATTTTAAAATTATGAGATAACTGAAAAATTTGAACACCGGCTGGATATTTGGTAACCTAAAGGAATTACTGGTAATGATGTATAAGAAGTCACAATTTTATTGTGGTTATTTTTTCTTATTTCTTAGGAGATACATATTAAAATGTCTATAGATTAAATAAAAGCCAAGATTTATTTCAAAATACACTAAACAAAGACATGGATGTGAGTACATTCTTGAAACAAGACTAGTCATGGTTGAGAACTGTTCAATATAGTAACTGAAATATGAGAGCTTGTTGTGATAATCTGAATTACTTTAGGTCTTTAACATTTTACTCAATAAAAATGTTTTTTTAAATAAATCAATGTTACAATTATACATGCATCACAAAGGTCATGTTAGAATACTCAGAGCATCAGAGCTTCTAAAAGCAAAATACTGGAAAGCTAAATTGCTATGAATACAAGCTTGGATTACAAATTTTCGTGGTACTTCATTCCAGAATGAACAAAGAACACAAGAGCAAAGCAAGGGAGTCAACTTGGTCAGTGGTTCTCAGCCTGGGGTGATCACTGCCTCCTCCTGCAGGGACATTTAGGGTATCAGGTGACAATTCTAGTTGTCTCAAGGCAGGGGAAAGGAGAGCGACTGGTATGTAGAGTTGAGACCAGAGATGTTTCTGAATATCCTACCGTGCACAGAACATCAGCCCCACAACAGGGGATTAACCCACCTCCAGTGCTAGAGACCACTGCTTAGAAACTCTCTAACACCAGAACTGTTTAGCATACGCCACAAACATCAACACTGAACTAACACAAGATATAAACAAAAAGTAGCAAACAGACATGTGTAAGGGCTACGACATTAAGCACAGGCTAAGGGATAGTAAACACTCATGTTAAGCACACAGGCTAAGAGGGCTCATTGTGTATAGAAATTTCTCTATATGGTAAAGTGTGAAAACATGGAAGTGAAAACAATTTCAGAATAGAGATTGGAGGGTAGTGTTTGGTGGATGTTGTAACAATTTATTCTACACACAAACACACACACCCAGAGAGAGAGAAAGGGAAAATGAGAATTTTGTTAAAGGTGGTCACTGTTAGGTACCATCAAGTTGATTTTCAGCTCACACATCCCCATGTGTCACAAGGTGGAACTGACCCTTTGGGCTCTCTAGGCTTTACAAGGTTCATGGCAACAGATCAAGTCCTTCTCTCGAAGAGCTGCTGGGTAGGTTTGAACTGCCAACCTTTGAGTTAGCAGCTGAGTGCTTAACTATTAAGCTCTTCCATGGTGGGTATATGGCTGCACTCCTTCAGTTTCTGTGCCTTTAACACCCTTGACGGTGCTACTGATTAAAAGACTAGACGGTGAGGTGGTGGGCAGCAGAGGCTGGGAGGACGGGCAGAGTAAGAGAGCAGAAGGGCCGGGAAGCCCATCCAAGTGAGAGGTGGGCATACTTACCGGACCCCGTAGGTCGATGAGCTCCTGCCTCATCTGTGACACCAGTGCTTCCTTGGCCACCAGGGCCCGGTGCAGGCGCTCGTTGAACTCGATCAGCTCACCGTGCATCTCCGCCACCTGCAAGACACAGTGCCCAAAGGTGAGGCTTGGAGGAGAGCTGCCCCAGAGACCAGCTCGCTTTCACCAGACCTTCCATCCTCAACCAGCCATAACAATGCTTACTGCTGGGTCAGTTAACAAGCTCATGCAAACCCATCCATTAGGTGAACCCATTATTTTTATTTGCTTGATTTTTTAACCTTTCTGAATCAGGAATCCACACTGGTCAAAAGAAGAGTATGCCAGATCATGTTTAGACTGACAATTTTTTTATTCTTCATTAATGAATGCATTTCTAACAAAATGGTCTTCTAATTTGATTTGTGCCTGCCAAAGATTTATCCACTGAAGGAATCACTGACATAGTTCTGTTTGTTTCTTTTTATCAGGGCCTTGGCTTTGAATTCAAAATAGGACTAGAGTGTCTCAACAACGGTGAGAGACACAGAAGGCTACAGCAGATTCACCTTCTACCAGAAAAAAAACCTCAACTACTGTCATACTGATTCTGACTCATGGGATCTCATTCGTGTCAGATTAAGATTGCTCTACTGAGTTGTCAATGACCATTTTCCCCTCCAGAAGGTGACAACCAGGCCTTTCCTCTGTGGCATTTTTAGATGGACTCCAATTCCCAAGCTTTTGGCCAGCAGCCCAGTACATTAATCATTGACACAATCCAGGGAGTCCTTTAGCTCATTTTCTATCAGAATCACCTTTTCTTAGTGTTTCTTATCCATAGCAGCTCTGTGAACAAGTTGATCCTCATTATTTGCAGTAGCTACAAATTCACCGTGAACTTGAATTTGCCAGTTCACAACCAGCCTTGTTTGGGAACACACATGTGCACATCAGGTTGATTTCAAGCTTTGCTTTTTTTAACTTTGAAAACACACATTTGCAAATTACTACAAAAGTGTGAGTACTGATTTTGGGGTTATAATAAAATTTAGTGAGCAGATGAATTAATAAATAATGAAGATGATGATATGATGATGATGATGATTTATATTCCCATTTTGCAGAAAGAGACATGCCTTAGAGTTTAGGGAGTTTGTTCAAGGTCATTTAACTAAGAAGGGGGAGTGTTGAGGTTCAAACCCAAATACACGCAACTTCAGAACCTTGGCTATTAACCACTGGGCTACAGGTTAGGTGCTACCATTCCACTGAGCCAGGCTGCTGGTGGCAGCCCACGCAGACTCAACGCTTCCAGAGTTAATCCAATATTCTAGATGGTGCCCAAATGAATAAAAATGGAAGTGGCCATGAAAGTGCACCAGAGAATGACCAGAACAGCATACTAAAAGCACAGTATCCACTGTGATCAAAACATCATTTCTCTAATTGTGAGGATAATCTTGAACTTTGAAAGCATTGTGCTATAAGTAAAAGCAGCCAGAAACAAAAGGCCATGCCTGATTCTATTCACATGGAACATTCCACAAGTAGATGCAGAGAAACTGACAGCTGAGTAGTAGCAACCAGGGTCTGGGAAGAACAGGAATCAAACTCCAGAAACCCAAAGCCATTACCATCAAGCTGATTCCAACCAGTGACCTATTGGGTTTCAGAGATCATAAATCTTTAACAGAGGAGACGGCCTCTCTTTCTACTCCTGAGCAGCTGGTGGATTTAAACTATCAACCTTTCAGTTAGCAATCCAACACATTCCAGGCTACTCAGGATTGGGGGAGGTGATGATTGCATAGATCTTGAATTTCTTCTGTGTGATGAAACAAGTCCTGGAGCGAGACTGTGGTAAGAGCTTCACCACACTTGAATTGTGCCTAAACGTTACAAAATTGGATGTTTTAAAATGGTCAGAACAAAATAAAATTCAATTTGAACCATAATTTAAACATTTTAGATAAACATGAGGTGTCACTCTGTCAATGTTATTCAGGAACTTTGAAGAATCCTAAACAGAATGCATTTTCAGGCAGCCCCTCACCTGGTACCTGCCTCCCGATTCTCCTAAGCAGAAGGGTCTCCTGTGCCTTAGATGTCACCCAGACCCATGTCACTCAATACAGAAGGCATTGGTAATGTCAAATATAATCTGTAATGAATACTCAAATTGAGACATGGAGGCTTACTTTCAGAGAAAAGGAGAAAAATAGGGAGCCGTTTTATAAAACAAAGGTGTCTTTACTTGAACCTAATACTTTTTGGGAGAGGTAGGAGTGGAGGTGGATGCCATTATATAAAAAGTAAAAGGTACTGTAAAAATACACCAAGATTATTATTAACATGAATCAAGAGGTACATTTATGTCCCATTCTTTCTACTTCCCCAGATTTTCACGTTTTCAAATAATGAGCCTTCTTTCATTTATCAGTGACGAAAACCATAAAGACTCTTGAAAAGAATTCAAAGTCTTCACTTGAAACTAAAGGCAGCCGCCATTCAGCCAACATGAAATTTATCAGGCTCCCAGGTGTAATCCTGATTCTTCCATTAACCTGTTCGGCGAATTGACACTCAAAGGGCAACCCCTCCATCCCTGAAGTGCTTACATGAAATGCAAAGTGAAAAGGGCACAAAAGGCAGAAAAAACCCTGCCATTAACAAAGGAAGAGTAAGTCGCAGGGCCTTTTTACCAGCTTTGCCTTTGTACAGACGGAAAGTTAATATTCTCTCGTTGCCATATGCCTTTTGCAGGTGAAAAGCTTACAAAGATCTCCTTTTAGCCTTCACCAAACAAATACAGTATCACTAATGATGCCTGTGTAGTTTTATGTGGAAATGCTATGCTTCCTCCCTGAGCTTTCACAGGCTGGGCATCCACCAGCTACACAGCAAGCAGGACAAACACAACAGACAGGATCACTGCTAAATACCTGCTAATGGGCCGCCATGGGCTGCAAGCTTAAATATATGACACTATCATGTCCAAGAATGTTAAGGAAAATTTTCCATAAATGCATAAAACATTGAACCATCCCAGCGTCTAGTGGGGATGTTTCTCATGAGCTGTCAACACCCTCATTCTCCTGTAGCCAGGAGAGTGACTTGATCGTATCAGACAAAGCTTTCATTTGCTTAAGAGTAAGAAAGAAAAGAAAAGAAGAAAAAAAAAATCAGATGGGACAAAGAGAAAACATCTGATGAAATAATTTCCAACCGCTTTAAAATGGCCGATGCTCGTTTTCACTAAGCTCAGCTCTGGAACTCTAAATTTCACATCACATAGTCCTACTTAGAACCACTGATGTAAACAGCTTTCATCTTACGTAAACCTGCCTGAGCTTACTGCTCTTTGAATAACTATTTCCAAACTCTGCTTTAACTAGAAATAAGTTGACGTCTCAGAGAGAGCCTTGGAAGAGGAATCTGAGATTACAAGTAGGTCCCATTATTTTAACAATAAAACCAGGTCACACAACACAGAGGACAGTGCACGTGTGGAGGCCCTGAGACTGATGGGGAGGTAGCCGAGAGAAGTGGCTTTGAATTTGAGCTTTGGTGTAAGAGGGGCCCGGCTTTCATTGCTCACTGACAGAGCATCCTCATGCAAGCCATTCAACCTCCATGAGTTTTAAATGAGGATTTATAACCATTCCACCTCATTGGCCCACTGCAAGGATGAAACAGCCACTTCCTTCAGCAGGCTCAGTCTCAAGTCAGCACACGGTAAACGCTCAGGAACACGAGCTGGGCTTATTAACTGGACCATAGGATAGGCGATCATGGAAGAGACATGCAGCAAGATGAGGGCAGGCAGGTCCCCAGGAACCCAGTGAAAACAGATGTGTGCTTGTACAGCTGCAGGGAGAGACCCTCAGGTCCTCAAAGCAGGCCTTGTGAACCACTATTTTAGGAGTTGGGGAGCAGGGAAAACATACAGGCCCCCTCTTTTGTCAGAATCACAGAATTTGCATTAGGGGTTACACACATTATGACAGAGCTCAGTGAGAGGGGACAGCGTAGAAGGATGGTGGAGTGAAAGGACCCTCCAAGAGACCGTATTCTCAAGTCCCGAACCTCTTCAAGGGCACCAGGTGAGCCTCCTGCAGCTGACCTGATGTAGATATTATGTGCCTTCAAGTTAGATTGACCCTCCAGGAGGTTTTCAGAGGTGGCAAATCACACAAGTGGAGTTAGCCCATCTTTCTCCTGTGGAGCATCTAGTGGATTTGAACTATGGGCCTTTGAGTTGGCAGTGCAACTCTTTACCACTAGGCTACCAGAGCTCCCTCATAGCTGACTTATGCCCTACCAATCCCTGCTGGAAACCCACTGTTCTGGCACCATCCAGGGTTAGAGCCAGATTACGAATCCTTCTACCATAGTAGTTAGGTTTCCATAAAAATGTATAAGGAAGGCAGTTTGGGAGGAGGTAGCACTTGACAACACTAATTATACTGACAAAGCAAAAGCAAATGCCATGTGGACGTACACTGATCAGGGCGATACAGCTGTAGACACGTGAACCAAGACTGAGTGGAGTTGGAGAAGCATGCAGGCTAAGGCCAAGAAGAAGACAGGCTTGGCTCAGGAGCTCTCCTGAGTTTTAGTTTATACATTAATGAGGTGCGAATGCTTATCCGGCACTTCACGGATTTCATCCTTTGAGGGGAAGAAGGTACAGAGCTTTTAAGAAGCTTAAGTTATAAGGCTGTTTAGCCACAACTTTCTCAAATCAATCACCTCTCTTTGGCTTGGCAAATCCCTGTGAGGGAGTTATCCAGCCCACAGGATGCATATGTACTCAAAGGCACAGCACTGGGCTCCCAAAGGCCGGGCTCTTCTTAGACGCTCAAAAGGGGCTAGTTCAATATCAAGGTTTTGCCATGCTTTTCCAACTACCTCTTTGACAGGCATCATCCATCAATCACTGACTCCATCCTCAAGAAGACACCCAGGAAGCCACAACTAATCGATTGTATGGGGGCTGGCCTCCAAGATGACATCGATGTGGTATCATCACTGGCATGAAAGAGAGGTACTGGTGTCTTGGAGAAGGTGACATTTAAGTTGGGCTTTAGAAGATGATGTCTTTAGACCTTCAGGAG